AGGACAAAGTTTGGCAGTATTTGTGAGGTGGAAGAATGATATTTAGACAATATGTTGCACATGTGAGTCAAACATCAATCCTGGATCAAATATCACCCCAACGTTCTTCAATTTAGATTAACCATCCACAGATAGATTTACTGCGTTGGTTTTACATAGTTGATGGGTAATGTCGGGAAGCATGACTTCAGTCTTGTTGCAGTTTAAATAAAGGAAATTTTGAGTCATCCAGGTTTTTATATCAGAGATGCAATTAGAGAGAGCATAGACTGCCACATGTGTGTCAGGTGTAGTATGGATGTTGATTTGAGTATCATTAACATAGAAATGATCATTTAAACCATGTGATCTTAACAGCTGACCAAGTGGAAAGTAGCGCTCCCAGTATTAAGCCCTCAGGAAAACCAGACTTCATGAGTCCAATTTCAGAACTAAAACCACCAAGGCAGACAATGTGTCAGCTATTAGTAAAGGAAGACCATTTAAGAGCAATGTCAGGAACTCCAAACACAATCCAAAATGAGAATGTAAAATGTCATGGTTAGCAGTATCTAAAGCACCACCGAGAAGAATGAGGATAAAAAAGAACAAGAATCAGAAGCCATGAGAAGATCAACGTTCTGTGCTGTGTAGTTGTGGGAGCCCTGATTGGAGGGATTTAAAGAGGCTATTTGCAATGTTTATTTAATTGTAACAGCACACTCTAAAATCTTTTGCAAGAAAGGTTGGAAATGGGAAAAAAATTGTTGAGGTTGTCCAGAGCCATATTTGTGTTTTTTTACATGGGGTAACAGCAGCAGTTTTTCAGGCCAATGGTACCTCACCAATGCTCAAGGACCCATTTACTAAGTTGAGGACAATGGGGCAGAGAGAGGTGAAACAGGATTGAAATAAAGCAGTGGGAATGGAATCTTATAGTCACGTGGTGGATTTCATACATGAAACTAGTTTACTGAGTAGAGAGAAGGGAACCAGTAAAACTAGGGAGGGGGTGTGGAGACAGTCTGATTTAGATTTACAAACTGGGTAAGATCAAAGCCTTCCAACAAAGGTGGAAAATCCTTATCTGAATAGGAAGACTGTGAATCAATATGGATATTAAAGTCACCAAGAATAAGAATCCTTTTAAACCAGACAATTCCTTGGATCATTGTCTCTCAGACCCCATGCACATCAATAAACACCTCAGTTCCTTCCTTTCTTTGAAGCTCATGAGAACGGCAACTTCTGACACTAGCTAAATGTTTGATCATTGACCCTAGGTTCTTGAGACACCTCAGTTGATATTTCCAATAGCCTTATCATCTTCCTCCTCTCCTCCTGTAATAGAAGTATTGTCACCAATAATCACTTTCATCACAAGACTTTATCAAGTGCAGAGCTTATTAAATTAAGGAAATGTAACAGATTTCTGTTTCTACCTGATATATTTCTGTCACTATAGATTGTTTGAAGTGTTTTTCCAGCTGGATTCACCTTAATTATAGTTTTATCAAGCGGATTGGCAATACTAGGACCCTCACTCCGCCGAAACATGTTTTATAGCCAGTGGTCCCTGCATAATAAAATGCAAAACGTTGCATGGAAGCTCCACAAGTGGACCCAAAAAAAGTATCCCCAGCAAGTCACTTTTATTTATGCCATACATACAGGTACAGATTTCAAATTCTGATCCTGAGAGAAGATGAATTAATTAATCCACAAGTGTTTGTTGCTCAGAAATTTGGTGATTAGCGAACAATGTTCAGTGACAGAGCAAAAATGTTTGCAAGACCACAAGCTTTTCAACTCAGTAGAGACAAAGTGGGGTCCTACTGATATTATCTCAAGCTTTCAATTAAAGAACCCTTAAAATTGCAACAAAGGAGCAGTTATAGTTATTAACATAATCTAATATAATATAATATATAGAATCTGATATATTGAAACACCTCAATAGCCACTTCCAATAGCTGTAACCTTATTAACCCTTACACTAACCCATTGACCCTAACACCTTTAACACTATTAATCTCTGCTGATTTCCCTGTCTTTCTCACACCTGAAGAAGGCTCCACAGCCAAAACATTGTGTTTTCTTTCTTCTCTTTTCAGCATAGAATAAACCATTTACTTGTTCCTTTGCAGCCTATGCATGCTGCTGCAGCTACCTACTTGAACTACACTATTAACCCCTCTCTCTCAGTACAGTGTTAATGTTCTATAGTGTTCAGTTTGTCTGTAGTAACTTCTTTCTCTCAGTGCAGTGTTAATGTAGTGTTCAGTCAAAATGTCTTTATTAACACTATCCTTTAACTTCTCCATCACAGAGCTGTCAAACTGTACTGAAGAGGAATGTCCACGACGCTGTTCCTGGGGCTGGAAAAGAATGGGCCACAGGTGTATCAGGTTTTACAATGTTCCCCAAACATTTTATAGAGCTGAGGTAAAGATGCCGTGCGTATTATTTGTGAGGACTACATTAATTAACTAGAGACACACTGTAATTGTTACTGCCTCAACATTTACACAGTCTAAGCTATTTAAAAATAAGAAAACAAAACCAACATTTGGTTTTGCTATCCCGAGTCCTAATTTCTTTTTCTTCTAGTCGTTCTAGTCTTTGCTCTTGATATCCCCTAAGAACAACAAATTAGTACTTTAGAAACTCTTAGTGATTCCTTTCCTTCACCAATGTCTCTCTCTCATTTTCTTCTCTCTTTCCTTGTACAATAGCAGTGTGTGATGGTACATCTCTTCTTTTAAACCACTCTTTCCATGTGTTAGTTCAGGAGTTTATTTTCCCTGGTTGTATTTTCTTCAATATATATTTGTCCCAGTCCTAGTGCTGTGGTGTGATTTGTTCTCCCTGACTAATTGGAACAGCTTTTAGGTTTATACTCATTTGTATTTTTTTTATTTTGTAGTTTTTCGTTTTCTCAGTTGCAGGACAGACCACATCTCTTGCTCAGGACTCAAATTATATTGCATAGCAAATGTAGCACAACTGAGCCTTGTTTGGTGTGCGCAGTCTTTTAAGCAATTTTTTAAATGGATCTCTTGTTCCTCCATCGTGGTTCAGTTAAAAAGATCTGTGAAGTCTAGGACACACTTATTTAATACTGCCCATCAAATTGGCGTCAGAGGTTTCATACAGTATATCTACTACATCAGTACATTTGCATATATTTTAATATTATAACCAGGAGGTTGTGCAGTTTATTCAAGAATGGTCTATGAAAACTGATTTATGCTCAACCATCTTTAAATCCATCCCGTGCCCTAAATGGAAGTCGAAGTCAATGTCCTCCTGGAATGGATGTAATCTTTAAAACCATCAATTATCTTGGAAAATATCCACAGTACAGGCCTGATTAGGGTTTTTGAATTAAAGAGAACCCTTTGTACTGTACATCCTTTGTGAAAATGCTGATATTTTATGTCTTTCTCACTACAGACATTAGAAAGACATGTCAAGAAAAAAACAGAGATGCATTTTATTGTCTTTTTTCAAAAGTTTGTTTCACATTGTGGCACACTTATGATGTAAATTTCTCTATCTAGGTCTTCCCTAAAATGTCTACTACCTTTGATACACATTTGAAAGTGATTGAATAAATATAAAAAAATGCATACCTTTTTATTAACACAGGACTTGAATTGGTTTTCTCAGCCTTCCAAAAATGTGATATTCATAATGAAAAGAATAAACCATCTACTATTTTATTGTTTTATTTCACTACTGCCAGGCTTTGAGAGTCTTCTTATAATGTTTACAGTTAAAAAATGCCTTTTTTTACATTTTTTTTGTATTTTTGTATTTATACAGTACTCAACAAGTTTAGTAAAATAAAAAAAAATCACAATGAAAGCACCTTTTAAAAGGAAGGGTAAACATGATGTATTTCAGTGAATGTTTTGCTTTTGTGCTTGCATTTTGCTGTTGAATATAAGTTATAAAAATATAAAAAAGTGTTTCTCTAAATTGAAATGCAAGATGAATATTCCTGTGAAAAAAGGTTAATTTGCTTTATGCTGATGTATCTAGTTATGAAACACAGTAGTGAAAAGCTTAGGTTATCTTGTGTTTTGTCATATATAGCCCATGGTGTTGTGTTTTGATTTTGCTGGTAAAAATACATACTATATTATTCACTCGTTGTGCTGGTTGAACTTAAAGGTCATGGGGAGGATATTGGATCTGTGATATGAGAAACAATGAAAAAAAAGTGTAACATTGAAAACAAATACACACATTCAAGCAGACATGCCTACCACGGGATCTATGTGGAAGCACATTTTCTGCTTTTCTTCCATTATAAACTAAAAAAAGTATCTCAGAGAGACAGAATATCAACTGCATGTTTTATTGTGCTGATTTTAGTGTGATTAGTTCCTTATCTGTCTTTCAGAGAGCATGTCGCCATGCTGCCAGGAGAGGACATTTGATCTCAATCCATTCAAGGGGTCAGAATCACATAATTCAAGCTGTAGTAGCAAAACGGAACTGCCGCAGACAGAGTATTTGGATCGGGGGGAAACGTTTCCGAGGGGTAAGGTTTGACTCTTCTCTATTTAAATCATCGGTTCAGATCAGCTGTATGAAGCTAGGGAGAGTAGATTCACCGCAAAATTTCCCATACTGAACTGTTGCATGACAGAAACACTGAGGTTTCATCAGATGTTAATTAGATAGAGTGAAAAAATGTGAGAAACTGTAGGCCTTGTTCTTAATACGTCCCTAGAAACAGTTCTATTTAACTTAAGAGGAATAGGAAAGAGCAAATTAATCTTAAAATATATAAATTCTAATTGACTAGGTAAATACATCACTATGTACCATTGCTTATAGGTCCTGATGGTTGACACAGGTCAGTAAGAGCTCTTCCTCATATACAGTATATTAACCATAAGGCTTCTGGTGCTCTGTGCAATCTTGTAAACGACACAAGTTGATGAGGAGGGTAGGCTCTAACTCAGAAGTGGAGGCGTGAGGCATGTTTTTACAAAAACAGAAACAAAAGAGATATAGAAGAGATTTAATTCAAGTATATAAATTCCTAAAGACAATGATTCGGTACATTCAGAGGACTGATTAGCACTTAGTTGTGAACAACACATGGTCAGAACTACAAAGTAAAAGATAATTGTTTTAGAAGAATAGGAAAATATCAAGACTTGACTTCCCAGACAGGCATGTAGAGAATTGCCTGACACAGTGGAGAACTAATACAGTGCTATGATGTCAAAAGAGTAGCTACTGTACAACTGATGAAGTAAAGGGTGGCAGCACATGAGTTGCCTGTAATGAGATCTTCAATGATACTGAAGTGCCATTCTGGTGAGAAAAGTCAGAGATATCAAAGACAGTTTGGTTAGTATATAATGTGTTTAAACCATAATATGGGTTTACTGTATATCATTCCAGAGCAGGCGTTTCTATTGGGTAGATGGGAGCTCTTGGAATTACAGCAGCTGGGGCTGTGGAGCGCTGAATGAGTCCTGCAGGAAACAGACATGTATAAAAATGAACTACAAATGTGAGTGATTGTCTGCATGTTTTTCTGTGTTATGAATTTCTTTTTGCAAATAAGCGTTTCCTTCTGAAGAGCTCTGCAACACCTGTGTGTGTATGTTTTTAAAGGCAACTTGAAAATCCTATCCAAATGTTTCAAAGTATTTGTTTATTCTGTGCCAAGTTTCCAGATCCAGACACCCGGACGATTTTCAAGAGTTAGGAAAATAGTGCCTGTTGTTTGTATATTTTATACCTCGGACGTCTGGAAGCAATACAAGTAAATAAAAGATGTACTTAGAGATTGTCTGATGCATCAATTGAATGAGTTATCAGTGTAGTGACTGATTGATATCAGTATCAAATTATCATTGAATCTAACAGTCCATTGTATGTTCAACCTTGGCATTTGATGTGTGATTTGTGCAAGTCAGCGAATGCTTTATTCAAAGTTTTGATTCAAAATTCAGTTGACAGTCATGTAATTGACTAGATGAACAATTTACAGAATTGACATGGATGAAACTCTTTCAAATTCCCCTCTGCAGACGGTGGGCGCTGGTCACAAATTAGCTGTCGTGCCCGAAGACCTTATATGTGTGAGTACCCTCTGTACAAAGGGGAAGAGGAGACACAGGAAGGGACAGAAGATGAGCTGGAGATCAGCGCAGGAGTAGAGACCAAAGAAGAGGCCGGCGCAATGTAATGGCTAAATAATAGCCTGCAATTTCCCTCACGGGATCAATAAAGTATGTATCTATCTAATAATGCTAACAGAAATGGCCAAGGACTTTCTTACACCATCTGCTCAAATAAATCAAATCGTTCTTAGGAAATTTTCCGTATATGTTTCACATCATCAGTCTGAAGTATTTTTTACATTCTCCCAAAGGAAAATGTTTTTTCAGCAGAACTCCTGGCTCTTGTTCCTCTCTGAGCCCTCAGTGTTTTAATGTGAATTAATTGCATGATGAACTGCAGCCAGTGTCCTTTGTGGCTCATTTTGGGACAGATGATTCCAAAATACAAGCTATTTCAGGAAACAAGTAATAAGTCAAACAATGTCATTTTCTATGGAAGAAAAAAAGTTCTTACAAAATCTTATACTGAAATACTTAACATCACAGGATGCAGAAGGTTTCAGCTCCACTTTGGTTGTTTCACTTTTTGTTATCATTATTGTGATATATCAGCTAACTGCTTCAGGCAAAAAATAAAAATGAAAAAAAGTAAAACTGCTGCCAATTTTGCTGCGATCGAAAGGACATCTGTCTGTCGATCGGCCGCTCGCTTCTTCCTACAGTGAGAACACCTTGCACAGAGCCCATCTTCTGTTAAAACACAGCTGTGGTAGAGACACTGTATTCATGTGGCAGAACACACAGTCACACTGCAGTGTCAGGATATCACTCTAGTTACAGGACTTGACAAGGATGCTCCTGATATCCTGATATTCCCAATGGAGTTCTTGTGGGGGACTTAACTGTGATTGGCTGTCTTAGATTTGATCTGCATGTGACAGATGCCAGTTGCGCACTTGCTGGGACAAGTCTTATTGAAGGACTGAATTATAATTAGCTGTGTTAGATTTATCTGTTCATGACCGAGACAGTGATCACACTCAAGTTGCTCAACTGTTTGGTCCACATCAGGTTTTACAGCCAGCAAGCTCTTGTTCAAACTGGATGGAACTGATAATGCAATAAATCTTTAAATCATTGAAACAGACGCTTTGCTCTCATTCTCTATCCATCTATCGCTGTAGAGACAGTACAACAGTCCAAAACTTGCTATTTCAAAATGCAATTTTAAATAAAGAAACAGTCAAGAGTGTTATCCTATTCTGTGCCTAAGCAGAGCTTTGGAAAATGTTCCTCCTGAAAACTGTTAAACTAGTTGTGTGAAATATTTTGGTCTTTCACCTTAAATCAGTATTTCAAAATGTTTTACTGCCTGTTTAAATAAAGGAATACCTTAGTTATTGTTCTATTGGTCTTGGCAATGTTAGATGACTAGATAATGGCTGACTACAATATGCTACCCAGAGCCAGCAGATCACCAGATCACAATTAGGTGTGCACATTTAGATGGTCTGTCACTGTTCTTGCCTTGTAGAACCCCTTAGGGTTCCTATGATGCATCAGTGGTCCCCTTACAGAGACACCTGCGCACTCCACAAGATCAGTGCATTTCTCAGATGTTCTATTTGCAGAGTGCAATTGTAACAGTAAATTTGGAGAGTAGTTGACAACTTTTAGGAACAAAATAAACAAAATAATTTACAGTCTCACACAAGGATTCTAGATATACAATATAGAATTTATTGATTTAGACAAAATATGCATAACAAACATATATATCTGTTAAACAATCTGCTGTGAACACAAATGCTTTCAGTAAGGGATTGCAAAAACAGCATTTCACTGAAGTAACTTCAGTTAAAATACGTATCCACTATAATAAGTAGAAAACAACTAAACCACATTCATTTTCTCAGACACAAAGAAATATACATTTATTGTAGTGAACTAAACATCAAAGGTGTGTTTGTAATGATAATTCCCGTGAAGTGTGTAATTAATGAAGTTATACTGAGAAATCCATCGTCCAAACATCCTCAGTAAGTTTAAACTTTCCAATGGTAAAAGCTGGCTGGGTCCATAGCAGCTAGAGAAGAGAGAGAGAGCTTTTCTTTATGCTGGGAGCAGGCTGCTCTGCCAAAGAAGCGTCCTGCTGACTTTGGTCTTTAAAACAGTCTGTACGTGTCTTTTTGAGGTTAAGAAGGTAGGCAAAAGGGGAATAGCTGTGCTATAGCTTTTTGTGCAGGATATTCTGGATGTTGCCAAAAATAAAGAGATCAACTGCCTGGCTTCATGGAAAAAATTTAAGTCCTGACTTGAACTGCTTGCAGTCACATGGGTGTAAAAGTCAGTTTGACAGTCTAGAGAAAGATCTTCAAGTCAGTGAGTTAACCAGAGAAAAAAGACTTGTGTTCCAGTTTCTAATGGGCAACATCACCAGTTGGTGATTGGCCAAGATGCTATCAGGTTTGATTCTAGTATCCACAGATTAGTAGTTGTAGTTGTATCTTCCTATTGGTGATGGATAGTGACCTTTGACCTGTGGTGTTTGGGAATGAACCAGCCTGGAGACTGGCTGGATCCCTTCAATGCTACTATACAGTATATAGCATTAAATGTAGAACTTGATTCTGTATACTACCAGAATGTATAACAATAAAATTCAATTTGTTCCAATTTATAAAAGGTATGGAGGAATTTAGTGGATATTACTGACACATACTCTAAATGCATATACTATATACACTGCTTTGCATTTTAAGATTCATTCTTCATTAAGATCTTCTAGTTGAACTGCTTATATATTGCTTCACTAGAAACAACTGAAGCTGTATATCTGTGACACATGATTTGCAGTAGGTGGTGTCTAGTTATCATAGAGTCTTGACAAGCATGTGTTTGTTCACTAGTCTCTCAGCCTTAGATGACACACATCATCCCACACAATTCATTCCACAAATATTGAATGGGACTCAAATTTGGCAGGTTGTGCATCCACTACATAATTGTAAATTCTCATCTTGCAAGAAATCCATTATTTCATGAGCTGTATGAAGAAATGTGTTGTCCTCCTGGAATGCTCTCACGTCAGGATGAGCCTGCAGGAAGGATTTT